ACAAAGTGTACCAGACTTGTACTACAGAAGTATACTCTAACCCTAACCCTAACACTAACCCTAACCGGCTAACCCTAACCCTAACCCTAACCCTAACACTAAACATACCTCATATAAAAATATAAACATAATACTAAACAACCTAAAACTACCTCGGGTACATATCTGTAGTACCTGATACGACAACGACCCCATCTGCATGAGTATGAGCCCCAGTGGAGCATAACTTCCCCCCCCCCCCATAAGCCTAAGGCCACAAAACGGAGTTACAGTTAGTTGTGCGTTCAATATTACTATTAGTTAGTTGAGGAGGGTAATGCTCTAGCTTACGCGTGTACATTAAACACTATGACGAAGTTTTACCTACCTTCTGCAGTCGTGTTGACGAGTTAGTTAGTGTTTGTGGTTTGTTTCGATAACGGATTTGTTGGAAGTATATATCCCCCCTATCACGACTTGCCTCTGAATTATCTCAAGATTTTTTACAGCGTCGCTGTAAAGCTGCGCAATTTTATTTGGTTCAGTTTCTCCCTTGTTTTGCCTAAACGAATGTGCTACCTTGCGCATAGCATATGACTTGTAATTGTAAGACGAGAACTTTTCACTTGCTCGCATCATTTCTTTATAAAGACTTAAAACATTCCTGCTAGTGGGCGCCGCCATGCTTCTGATGTTCTTCAGACATGTAGAAAACAGATGGCGACACGTACTCCTTTGTTTGTATCACTTGTCTGTTTGTGTTCCACAAGTTTTTGGTGTAGTTGTGAAGTTACTCTCGTTTCCTTACGTTTTTACGTGTTTCTAACGGACTAGCTCGATATACAGGTGAGGTTAATTACTAATATATAGAATCTTACGCGACTTACGGTAGCTACTTTTATACCAAATACTAGCAGAAGCAAACGAAACTTGTTTAGGTTCGTTGACAGAATTCCTACTAGCAGTAGCAGTTCAACATTGTACTTGTACTTGTAAGTTGTACTTGTACTTGTAAGTTGTAGTGGTGTAGAACAAGGATCTAACTGCTGTGCTGGTAGTAATACTAATACTAGTAATAGTAACAGAATGTGAAATCTGTAAAAGTATTGCACATGTCAGTGGTATAATTATTGGTACGGTTTGGGTATTTTACTTTCTTTTGTCACTAAGACTGCATCTGATGATCTGTCCTGAACTGACTGTACTACTACTGACTACTTAGCTCCAAGAAACGGTATTGCTAGGGTTAGAATAGGTGTATTGACGTTAGTTACGTCAGGGAGTGGTCGGGTTACTGACTACTGTACTAGTAGTACTACTACTACTAATAGTATCTGACAAGACTGTACAGTACTCGGGTTACTGAGTACCCTGGTTCGGTGTTTACTGGTGACTACTGCGTACTAGTGAGTACTACTACTACTACTATTGTATAGTATCTGACAGACTTACAGTACTGGAGACACGAAACATTGCGGCGTGGGAGTTCTGCTTGCAAGTGTGATGCCAAATCAGGGCACCGGTTCTATGTGTTGATTTTGAAAGACTGCAATGGACATCTCACTGGTTCATTGTTCTGCGATTTGACAGCAAAACCCAAAGCTAGACTCGTGGTGTAAAATACGTGGTACATGTGGGTTTTGGCCTGAAATCTGATATTTGGTGTTACAATATTACAAGTGTATTGTGTAGGTGAACACTGGTTGGAAACTAATCTATTTCAATACTTGTTTGACTCGAGACCAATTTTTACGGACCAACACCATTCCCGTATACATACATACATCTCAATACATACATGATACAGCTATAAGTAGAGCACTTCATATATTTCTGTCTGACTTGTCTTCTATCTTCCTCCCTCTCTCCTCCTCTCGCGCCTCCCCTCTCTCGCTCTCTCTCTCTCTCTCTCTCTCTCTCTCTCCCTCTCTCTCTCTCTCTCTCCCTCTCCCCCTCTTTCTGCTTTCATACTTGCTCCTGCACTTAGACATTATACTTGAGTATTCACTACATACTATATGCCCATAAGGCTAATGGGATGTAATTATATGAGTCAACCCCTATATTCCTTGATTGATTAGTCTATGGCCAGCAAATCATTAGTTTCAACAAGTTCAAATTAATTATTATAAGACTATCATTTACTCAAGTATTTCATTTTATTCATGATTCTGTTATTTTCCAGCATCACTAACATTAGCATTAATAGTACTTGCACACATGAATTGCTGTCATATATTGAAGAAAAAAACATGTTGGCTATTCAGGTGATAGATTATATGATTCATTAGCAAAAATACTGTCCTCTGTCTGTTGTAGGCCAAGTGCCAAAATATTCCACATTTCATTAATGCTGTCCTATATCAGAATCTCACTACATGCTAACTCAACTGTAGTAGTACTACTACTAATAGTCATTGGTGTCATTACATGAAATCGCCATGTAATTGTTGAAATAATGATATAAACAAACAAAGTTCCAGATGTTTTTGTCTATGTGCACCTGAATAATTCTTCACCCTTTCCAAATTTGTTTGTAGCTAGCAACTGTAAGAACAATTTTCGTTGTGCAAATTCTCACCAGGGTGACAGGGTCCGTTGTCAAAAACAAAATTAGTCTTAATTTTGCTGACAGCAGCCCAGGACGATCACTTGATATCGCTCAATTGAAGGTGAAAACACAAGTATGTCATAACTGCTGTTATACAATGGATTCATAATATAGTTACCAATCCCATGGTCTTCTTGTCACATTCCATTCGTTCATAGTGCAAAACTGGTCTGATAAAATCAATAAGAAACGAGTTGCACCTCCCATTTCTTTTGTAAAGGGATAATAACAAGCAATGGTATTTAATTAGCCTGTATTTCCTGTAAGCATTATATGCTGCAATATATGGACATAGTTGGAAGTAAAAACATACCAATCAGAACATACAGTGAGTATAGCTAACTACCATGCCACTAATACAATGAATGAATTTGTGTATATTCAGTCCTCTCCTTATAATATTACACTTGTAACTGTTGCAAATGTTCACTGTGCTTATTCATGCTATAATTTCCTTTTGCTGTCTTTGCACATCTGAGATTTACAAGCAAAATGAGGAAATCTAGTTGGTTTTTGTATAATGCAACATTCTAATTAATTTTCAATTTGGACAGACTCAGACACTTTCATTTTAGGATTTCGTTTCAATATGCACGTAGAAATTCAAGCACTAGAGGAAATGTGGATACAATTTGCGCGCTAAAACTCAAAGATGTAATTTGACTCCATCTTCAAAAATCTGTGAAGTCTTGCAATCGCATTTCGTGTAGATTGGTCGTCACTGCATGCCAAACCTCCACCCAGATTCGTAGAAAGTTCACACACAGCATATTTCTTGTGCTGGGACAAGAACATATATATACGTGCATTTCTTTGCCCATGTTCACACCGTTTGTTTGTGGCTGTCACAAAGTAGGTCTCTATTGCTGTAATCCTGCAAATTATTAAATTCGGTCACAGTCATCATTATCGGTCATTCACAGATGACATTCCATTTTAGACGGTTTGCCCATTTCCTGTTAAAATGCTCTCGGGCAGTACTACCCGTAGTCTGTGCCTCGCTGGCATCCTGTACGCAATAAACGGGGCCTGGTGTTGCGGTGCGTGACAGCACATGCTGGTTAATCATGTAGCTGTCCAAGTGGTCTACTGAGAATGCACGTAGCCATAAAAGTTCACACTCCGGTGGGAAACATGATTGTTGGTGACACACACATACGCACACACATACACATACTCACACACGTCATGTATATATATACAGACACACCGTGTACGTACGTACAAACACACACACGCCACACGGCCACACACACAGTTAAGTGTGTGTTCATTGGGAATGAACGCTGGACAGCAGGCAGTGTAGGGCTGCTGATGTCACTCTGTGGCAGGCCGCTGCAGGAAGTCTGAGGGCAAGGTTCAGCTGAGTTACGGACCGACTTGTTAATGTGTGACAATGCTTGAGATTAAAACAGGAAGAGGCTGTGAATGAACGAGATTGGTGATCGTGACTTTAGTTTCGTACCTCTGTGAGTGATGGTCAAAAGCTTAGAATGTTGTTGTTGTTGTTGTTGTTATGTCCTTGACCTTTCCTTTGTATGTACTTTTAACCTAACACATTCGGCACCAGTACACATTCAAGATTTCGTTGTGTGTGGGTGTGCGTGCGTGCGTATCTGTCTGTGTGTGTGTGAATGCGTGCGTGCATGTGTGTGTGTATATATTTGTGTGTGCGTGCGTGTGTTCGCTCGTGCATGCGTGCGCGTCAATATGTGTGAATAACTTAGGGGGAGTTGTAAATAATCTGATTTCCAATGTTGACTAACTTGGAATTGGGTACGTATAATCAAGAGCACATCAACCATTTGTGGTGTCGTTTTCTTCCCTTTTTTTTCTACTTTTTTTCTTCCATTTTAACCCTTTTTTTAGGTCTATGTGCTCTTAGTATAATATGTGCAAGTCTCTCTCTGTGTTCTATGTCGAGGAAACATAACAGTCAAGTGCTTGAACTACATTAACACTGATTATATATGCGGCTAGTGCCACGGACAGATGTTACACAGAGAATTATGCGCTCGCTACCCGCGAATGTGCATTTCTAATGACCGTTGTTAGCACGAACTACATAGTACATGATTCAATGCCCAATTACAGTTCAGATGTGACTGAACGGCGAATGTCACAAACGCGCGAATGCTGTGTCGCTCACTGAACGGAAGTAATGAAATGTGCAGCGCATGATTGAAGCATCACCACGGATGGAAGGCAGGGGAATGTTGTGCACCACCATCAACAACTCTATGTGGTAGACGTGTTTGTGTGTGTGTGTGTGTGTGTGTGTGTGTGTGTGTGTGTGTGTGCGTGTGTGTGTGCGTGCGTGCGTGCGTGCGTGCGCGCGGGCGTGTGTGCGCGTGCGTGTGTGGATGGTATTCTCCTGGGAGTGCGTTAACAATATTGCCATTGTACTCATGCTAGTATGTCTATGTGTGCGTGCGTGTGAATGTAAGTGTATGGCAGGTGGGAGAAGTTATTAACTAAAAATGTCAGTGAGAGTGAAAAACGATGGTATTATTATTATTATTATTATTATTATTAT